TGAAACTGGGCGTGGTGGCATGCACCTGTAATCCCAGCTCTTGGGAAAGTTGTAAACAGGCAGATCACTATGAGTCTGATCTAGTAGTGAGACCCGAAACATCCTGTAGACCCTTCTCTAAAATACAAAAAATAAATAAATAAAAATAAATAAACTGTGATGATTTTGAGGTAGCTATATATTAGTATGGCTACAGTAATGTATAAATTAGGCTGTGCATCTCATTACAAGAAAAGCATTCCATTAAATAAAATAAAGAGCTGCATGTTGTTGTACTGCAATCAAGGGTGTAAGAGTATAGTTATGGAAGGTTAGTAGGCAAAGGATTGGAACATACTGCTTATTAACTTCTAATACATTCTTTTTGCTGCCTATATATAACTATGTGCTGGCTTTTGTAATATTTCTATTACTAGTTAGTTTGATGTTAAACAATAAGATTCTAAGGGATAAGGAATTTTTTTCTTCCTGCTTCTAAAATGGTTCAATCCTAGGCTCTTGTAGATTACACTCTCCCTCTTCTCCTATACCAGCACTTGATTGGTGTATGAATTCTCCATTGCTAGCTTCCTCTAGTGCCCCACTGAGACGGGGAAGACTATCTGAGATCCCCAGAGAAGGCTCTGTGCCTCAACCAAAGTACCTACTACAGCACCTTACACCTTACACCTTACGGGCCTTAGAACCCCAGAGCCACCCTCCGTGTTCTGGGCTCTGGCAGTGGGCTGCTTCTACAGACCCCTGATTCCAGCAGTCTCCAGCCACAGCAGCTCCTGGGCATTGTTGAGTTTGGAGGCCTAGCTCTGATGATTGAGATGCTGCTTTCGTATGGATTACCTTTCTAGTATCTCAGAGACTTCCATCAAGTCCCATGTAATGTGGAAGGCACAATAACTCCAGGCCTCCAATCCTATTGCAAGTGGGTTTCTGGGTTCCTCTTCCCCTACCTCTGCTGAGCTAGGTTCCTAGTTCTTACCCCACCTATTTCCCATAAGCCATTCCCCGGAGGTGGGACTTCCTGTCATAGCCCGGTTACCTAGTTACTCGTGCCTTTTACCCGCCAACGTCATTTCACTATGCCTCCACTATATATACCCAGCCCCTCCCCTGAATAAACAAGACTTGATCAGAATCCTGTCTTGTCTTCATTTCTCGTGTCTCCTGTCCTTTGTCCCCTCCTCAATTCCCCACTCCTCTCCCAGGTGACCTTCATTGACTGACCCGCTGGTTCGGGACAAGTGGTGCCCAATGAATGGGGCACCTGGTACAGAGGATTCAGCGATGGAACCGTCCGAGAGAGCTGGCAAGAGAGAACGTAAAAGAGACCCGTGATGCAGTTGCCTGCTGTGATGTCTGAACCTCGGTAAGTGGATGGCACCCCTTTTCCCTTTCCCTTTGACAATGTGACAGGCATTAAGTGAACATGAGATATTTGTAGAAAGCTTGAGCAAAGCATTAAAGGTGCTAGGAGTAAAGGTTAAAATTAAGGATTTGTGTCAATATGTTGAATATATTAAACAAGTTTGCCCATGGTTCCCTATGGAAGGAACTATTGATCAGAGGTGACAGAAAAAGGTTGGTGATGCCCTTAAGGATTATTATGAGACTTTTGGACCTAAAAAGGTCCCAGTGATACAGGGAAGTAAAACTCCTGACCTGATCTAAATGAGTTCGTGTTCTCTAAAACCAAAAAATAAATTTTAGGAACAAACGGAGGTTGAGAGTAGAATATTTTATTGGGAAAGAAAGCTTGTGTCTCAGAGAGGACAGAAGGGGGGACCTGAGCGGGTTGCCCAGGAAGCTGTCTCTTTCAGTTTATTTTTATAGAGCAAAACCATGTGGGGTTAAGGTAGAGAGGAAGGGGTCTTGCTTAGGTGGATGTGGGGTGGGACGAAACTATGGTCAACCAATGGGATTGCAAGCACCATTGCTCAGGTAAAGTTGATAACGCCCAGGGCCAAATGGGGAAGTGAGTCACAGAGTAAGTGGGCATGAATATGGGACAGGGTCTCTTTTTGTTGGGGGTTGGGCTGGTGACTCACTTGGGTCTTTTCAGGTGATCATACCTATTTAGAATATCAATCACAGGTGCTACTCTTTTAGCATTTGTTTGGCCTTTAGGTCTTTTAGGTCTGGCTCACAGCAGGAGCATCCGTCTCTCCCACACTTGCAAGATAACTTGTCTTTTGTGCTGTCTCCTTCAAGGGCCTTGCCCTGTCTGACTGCCGATTAATATTTCTATCTAATTCAGCTACCTATAACACCAGTTACGGCCTTTTTCCTACTGGAATTTAACAGATGAAATCTTATCCCAGAGACACTGTGACCCGGTTGTGGCTAATGTGATTTAAAAAAAAAAAAGGGTGAAAATATACTACAGGGACAAAAAGGTAAAACCCATCTTAAAGGACAAAGGACCCCCTAAGGGTGTGTGCCCTCCTGTAAGGGAACAGAATCTTGAAATCAAAATCAGGAAGCCTCTTGGATATCAGGACCGAAACGGGCCACCTGAGTCAGTTCAGGGCCCTCCGCCATATAGCACTGATACCAGTGCACCTCCTTTGGCGTGTTCGGCTTCTGACCCCAGAAAGGAATTAAAAGGCAAAATTGAACTTCTCAAAGAACAGATAAAATTAGAGAAAGAGCACCAAGACCTTATAATCCAATTAGAAAGATTAAAATCAGAAAAACCCAAAAATAAAAGTATAACCAGACCAAAAGCTCCCTGTGTTCAAAAGCCACCCATGAGGGGTACTATCCCCAAAAGCTTCCTCCTGTTAGACCCACCCATAGATCTAGATAAGGCAGAGGTATTTCCAGTGTCAGAAACAACAGGTGCTCAAGGACAGATTTGGCGCCATTACACTAGTTTCAATTTTAAAGTACTAAAGGAACTAAAAGCGGCGGTTGCCCAATACAGAGCCACGGCTCCATACACCACAGCCATTTTAGAAACTGTGGCCGACAATTGGCTTACTCCTGAGGACTGGCAGGCATTAGCCAGAGCCACCCTCTGGGGGGGGGGGTGATTATCTCCTATGGAATTCTTCCTGTATACAAGGAAGCTTTCACAATGATAGCTTCACTGTTGATGTTGGATTTGTTACCTTCACCAGCTGCAATCAAATACTTAACTACAGTAGCCCTATTTGCCCAAAAAAGGGACATGTGTTTATATGTGGGGGAAGTTTAGCCTTCACATATTTACCTACCAACTGGACAGGACTGTGTTTCATGGCAATTGTATTGCTCGATATAGATGTCATCTCTGGTAATGATTCCGTACCCCTTCCCAGTTTAGATTATGCTATGGTCCACACAAAGAAGGCAGTCCAGCTCATCCCTTTATTAGTGGGGCTAGGAGTCACAGCGGCCATGGGGACAGGCACAGCAGGATTGGGAGTAGCAGTACATTCTTATAGTAAATTATCTAATCAGCTGATTGATGATGTTCAAACACTGTCTGGTACTATCCAAGATATCCAAGACCAGATAGATTCATTAGCAGAAGTAGTCTTGCAAAATAGGAGGGGCTTAGACCTTCTAACAGCAGAGCAGGGAAGGGTCTGCTTGGTTTTACAGTAACGCTGCTGCTTCTATGCAAACAAGTCCCATATTGTTTAAGATAAAATAAAGAGACTTCAAGAAGATCTTATTAAGAGGAGAAGAGAGCTATTTGAAAATGCTTTCTGGAGTATATGGAATGGAGATAGCATATAATAGTGATTTAAGAATTCAGTCTATATCTGACATTTAGTCAGAATGTTAATAGATTTATATATAATGCTATGTGTTAGTTTTTCATTACTAGAACAAAATACTGGAATCTTGGTAACTTCAGAAAGAGGTTGAGAGTATTGTAACTTTCAATGTATAGATCTTTTACTGCATTTGTTGGATAGATTCCTAAGTATTTATTCATTTATTTTTGGATTCTATTATGAAGGGTGCAGTTTCCCTAATTTTTCCCTGAGTTTGTTATTTGTATACAGGAATTCTACTGATTTTGGAGTGTTAACTTTGTATTTTGATACACTACTGAATTTATTATTTCTAGGAGTCTTTCAGTGGAGTTTTTGGGGTCTTCCACATTGAACATCATGTCATTTGCAATAATGTAACTTCTTCCTTTCCTAGTCTTATTCCTTTTATTTCTCTTGTCCAATTGTTGTGTTGGACATCCTTGTCTTGTTCCTGGTTTTTTAGTGAAATCTTTCAGTGTTTTTCCACTTAGTATGATGTTGGCTGTTGGTTTGTCAAAGATGTTTTTTTTTTTTTTTTTTTTTTTTTTTTTTATCAGATTGAGGTTAAGACGGTCCATTCCAATTTACTGTAGGTTTTTTAATCATGAATGAGTGCTGGAGTTTGTCAAAAGCTTTTTCTGCATAAATTGAGATGATTATGTGGTTTTTGTCTTTGGCTTTGCTGATGTGGTATATTACATTTACAGATCTGTGTATGTCGAACCATCTCTACATTCCTGGGATGAATCCCATCTGGTCATTGTGTACAGTCTTCTTGATGATTTCCTGCATTCTGTTTGCTAGTATTTTATTGAATACTTTTGCATCTATGTTCATAAGGGAGTTCTCTTTTTTGGTTGGGTCTTTCTCTGGTTTTGGATTCAGTGTAATACTCACCTTCAAAAATGTGTTAGGGGGGCTGGTGAGATGGCTCAGTGGTCTAAAGCACCTACTTAGAACAAGCTTAGCAAAGCACAGGGACCGCGGTTCAATCCCCCAGCACCACATGCCA